TGCGATGCGAAGCATGTTTGCAAGCAGAAGGGGGTCACTTTCAGCACCTGTTATAAAGCACGGTAAGTTTGTGTTATCTTTTTACAGTATTCTTATAAATGTGTGCATGTACAGAAACTGATGTAAGGGTATCAGCGACACGACTGCACTCTCGCTAGCGGGGAGGGGCACAGTAGTCGCGGAGAAACGTTCCATCCGCTCTACGCTGCTGCCCCGGTTTCCTCGATCTTTGAACACCCTGTATTACTAATTAATGAATATAATTTTTTTAAATGAAGTGTGATTTCGAATATTTCGAATATAAGCCGCACCCCAGTTTTCCTCTTGAATTTTTGGCAAAAAATATGCGGCCTATACATGCGTAAATACGGTATCTAAGTTATCTCCTAGTAGATTTACATCATCAGCATAGACCAGGAGCTGATAAGTCCCATTCCATTTCAGTCCCACCTGATTTTCTTGGACCTTACTAATGGAATTTGTACACACGAAGCAGAAACGTTCAGCTATGCATTCTTGTTTCCAATAGAAACATCCCAATGCTTTACCTTGGTCCCAACCCATTATTTCCTACAGATTTACCTTGATAGCAGGGGAGGACCCCGTGTCGTTATCTGGAATATCTGTGTAGTCGTAGACTGTTTCCATGGAGGCCATCCGGAAGCAGCCCCCAGCACAGGAGCATTCCTCGATCACAGAATGACACTGCACCCCATTGGGCCCTGGAATACTCACGCTCTTGTTCCTAACGGGCCTGCACCCCATCTCTGTAAAACAAAGGACGTGCATTTAACTTCTATAGGACTGCTGCTTTGTTAAAAATAAAGCTCTAAAGCATATACTTCTTTGTCCACGATGTCGGATTGGGTGTGAATATCGTGGTATCAGAATAACGTACGAAGTGGCGAGGAAATAAACGAAGATATTACAAGAAACTGTACGTAGTTTTAGTTTTGCTCCACAGTTAAGATAAATTTATATCATACAAATGGGCTGATTTTATCGATAATTAAGAGTAAATTAACGTAGAGAGATATGTGGGTGTATGGACAGAGAGAGAGAGACAGATGGCTAGATATATAGACAAATACATAGATTGATGGATAGATAGATATGTAGACAGACAGATATATTAAAAAATAAGCACGAATAGGAGTTTAAGTAGACAAGACAAGGGATATACGAAGGAAGGGAAGGAGGGAAAGAAATTAAAAAGAGAAAATATGATATAGGATATGGGTAGAGGACAGAGAGATATAGTAAAATAAAGCAAAGGTATCCCTATAACAGGCCGTGGAGGCCCATAGGGTTGTTGAGGTTCCCATATTTTCTAGACATTTTCGGCTCATTGATGGCGGTGTGTTAAGAAGATTGCTTATAATGACAGAATTATTGCTCTGAAGTTAAAGGCGTAACTGGTAGATATACTGATTATGCAAGTGTACATGCCAACATCAGAGTATGAAGATGATGAAGTGGAAAAAGTGTATGACACAATTGAAGAAATTCTCCAGAAAGATGGAAGAGGTGACACAAACAGCATCATATTGGGAGACTGGAATAGCATTGTTGGATATGAACCAGATCAGAATATTGTTGGATCACATGGACTAGGAAGACGGAATCACAAGTGTCAAATGCATATTGATTTTTGTGAACGAAATTGACTGATTGTCACCAACACTTGGTTCAAGAAGCCAAAGAGAAGAATTTACACATGGAAGGCACCTGTTGATTGGAGGAGGCATCAGCTGGACTACATCCTTGTGAAACATCGATTCAGAAACAGTGTGAAGGATGTGAAGACGCTGCCTGGGGCAGATATTGACTCTGACTACAACTTACTGGTTGCCAAGTTCCGAACCAGGTTGAAGAAAATTATAAGATTTCAAAAGCGCAAACCTAGATGGGATACGGAGAAGTTATATGCTCAAAGACAAAGCGTGCAGGAGACCCTAGAAGAGAAACTCGGTGCAATTGATGGTGAAAGCGGAAATGCTTAAGTGCAGTGGAACAATATAAAAGAATGCATATTAGATACTATCAGTGATGTAGTTGGTAAAGTTGACAAGATAGCAAGAAAACCATGGGTTACACAGGAGATGATGAGTAAAATGGAGGAGCGAAGGAAATGGAAGAATGTCAACAATGAAGAAGGCAGGAGGAAATACAGAAGACTGAGGAATTAATTGAAAAGAGCCACGGACAGGGCCAAAAAGGAATATCTTGAGAAGATATGTAATGAGATTATAGAATTTCAAAGAACAGGACGTTATGATTTGATGTACATGAAAACAAAAGAACTGGGATGGAAAGAGAATCATGGGATTCAAAATATTGCCATCGAAGACTCCCAGGGGAATAGAATAGTAGATCAGAGGCAAGTGCTGAACATTTGGGAAAATTATATTACAGAACTATATGATCGACCTAATCGGCCAGAAACCTTAGAAGTTGAACCAGAAGAAGAAGTAGATACAGACGAGAAAGGACCATATATTTTACAAAGTGAGGTGGAAAAAGCTATCAAGGAAATGAGGAAGGGAAAGGCTACAGGAGATGATGATGTACCTGGAGATGTGCTCAAGTTACTGGGAGAAGGTGGTTTGAAAACACTGACAAAACTAATGAACACCATATATGAAAGTGGAGAGTGGCCCAAGGACTTTACAGAAGTTACAATGATTGCCGTAAAGAAAAAGACAAAAGCTACAAAATGCAGCGACCATCACACAATAAGCCTTATTGCACATACAGCAAAGATAATAGCAAAGATACTTAAAAGAAGAATTGAAAGGAAAATAGAGGATGTACTTGGAGAAGATCAGTTTGGATTTAGAAGAGGAAAAGGAACCAGGGATGCAATTGGGATGATGAGAATTATAGCGGAACGAACTTTGGAGATAGATGAAGAACTGTGTGTTTGCTTCATAGACTGGCAGAAGGCATTTGACCGGGTAAACTGGACCAAATTAATGCAGATCCTGAAAGAAACAGGTATCGATTGGCATGAAAGAAGATTGATTAGCAAATTGTACATGGATCAGAAAGTTAGAGTACGACTGGACAGGGGGGAGACAGGAAGTGTGCAGATTGGAAGAGGAGTTCGACAAGGATGCTGTTTATCACCAATTCTGTTCAACTTGTACAGCGAATGCCTTACCAAGGAAGCTCTGGATGGGCTCGGTGACTTCAAAGTAGGAGGGCAAATTATTCAAACTGTGAAATATGCAGATGACCTTGTGTTAATGGCTAAGGAAGAAACTGTGCTACAGGGCATGATTGATAGACTAATTGAAATTGGAAGGGCTATGGCATGGAAATGAACACTTAGAGCAGTAGATCAGAAACATCTGGAAAGTTTCGAAATGTGGTGTTGGAGAAGGATGGAGAAGATGAGTTGGACCTATTATGTGAGAAATGAAGAAGTGTTAATTAGAGTCAGTGAGCAGAGGAATATCCTACACAAAATAAGAAAACGGAAGGCTAATTGGATTGGTCATGTTTTACGCAGAAACTGCCTTCTAAAAGAAGTTATTGAATGAAAGATAGAGGGGCGTATATAAGTGACGAGAAGACGAGGAAGAAGATGTAAGAAGATGCTGGATGACCTTGGGGACAGAAGAGGTTACTGTCATTTGAAGGAGAAAGCTCTAGATCGCATTAAGTGGAGGAATTCTTTTGGAAGAGACTGGACCTGTCGTCTGACAGATTACTGATAATGATGATGATGATGATGGCGGTAAGGTTGTCAGCCTTACGCGCCGGCCCCCCTTTAACCCCAAGAATATTCCTGGTACTCATTTCTGTTAGAGGCTGAGTCGACCCCAGGGCCATAGTGCGGCTGGAAGGATTAGGTAAATTGAAAAAAAAAGTGCAATGACCTCATCGGGATTCGCTCTCATGACCTTCCGGCTTGTAGCATAGTGCCTCAACCTGTACGTTTAATACAGTTATGTAGTCTGTTTATACCGCTATGCGCACTCAGCCATGTTACGTCAGAGCTTGCCAGTCATGTGTCATGTATAGTGTTTGGAAACCTAAGGACAATTATGACATGGCGAGCGAGTATTTTGTACTTCAATTTTATGGCTTCATGTCACTCATAAGTTAGTTTGATATTACGTATATTATTAACATTACAGAAACCACATATGTAATCAACAAGTGTGTAACACCGGTCAAAATTTCACACTTCTCTGACCATTATCTCCGTAACCGTTCAACTTTGGACATAGGTGTTTTGGGTTATATGGGCATACTTTAACATAAGGAACACCCTCCCGAAGTTTGACACATTCCTCCTGGGACACCTGTATATAGAGATACATAAATTGATGGATAGATACATAGATAGACAGATATATTAAAAAAAACACGTATAGGAGCTTAAGTAGACATGACAAGAGACCTACGAAGGAAGGAAAGGACGGAAAGATATTAAGAGAAAAGATGATACAGGGAGAGGACAGAGAGATATAGTAAAAAAAAGTAAAGGTATCCCCGTAACAGCCCGTGTAGGCCCATAGGGTTGTAAAATGTTGAGGTTCCCATATTTTCTAGAAATTTTCGGCTCATTGATGGCGGTAAGGTTGTCAGCATTATGCGACGGCCACCCGTTACCCCCAAGAATATTCCTGATACTCATTTCTGTTAGAGGCTGAGGTGACCCCAGGGCCATAGTGCGGCTGGAAGGATTAGGTAAATTGAAAAAAAATGCAATGACCTCATCGGGATTCGATCTCACGACCTTCCGGCTTGTAGCATAGTGCCTCAACCAACTACGCTACCGCGTATAGACATAGATATATAGAGAAAGGAAATTATAGATTTGCTCTGAAATGCGGTCCTGACGTTTTGTTGAGTGGGCTTCAAACTAGGTCTCTCTCTGGCCGGCTCTGTCCAACATTTGCAAAATCGGCTTCCATTCGAACGTGAGAATGAGATTTGCGGACTGCCGTATGTTGCATGGCCCATCAGTTCACCTGACTCGCAATGTCCTGAACAGGCGCCGACGTCGAGGTGCGTCTCGTAGGGAGTGCCAGGGTACAGCCGCAGAGTGTGCGCCTGCCTGAAGCAATGGTTCGGCTTATGCCTACAGCCGCACTCCTCCACAACCAGATGTTCTTGCATTCCGTGTAGCGTGCTGACCCTCTGCAGGCGCGACCTGGACGGTACACAGGCTGACTCTCGGGGACACGGCTGCAACAGGACATAAGAGCTAACTGCCTTACAGTACGAGATCCATCATACGGAAAACTTGCGACGAAAAGCTTCCTACGTTTTGCGATTTTCTGGGTTTGGGATCCGTAAGCCATTTTAAATTCAACAGTTAAGTACTTCACACAGCATATTTTAAAAGTTTAGAAGTTTTTGGAATGTTCTTGAGGGTAAAGAGTGGCCGACGCATAGGGCTGACAACCTTGCCGATTGTCTAGACAATGTGGGAGCCTCGACATCTCACAACCCTATGGGCCTCCACTGCCTGTTACAGGGATACCTTTACTTTTTTTATAAGTTTATTTATTTCGAATAAAGGAATTATTAGAAATGTTTCTAGGATTTTGAGAGTTCGGAAACTTTCTGAAAAAAACACATTTTCCGAAATATGAACAAATTTTGAGATCTCGGAAAATCTAAAATTCGTGAACTTCTAGAAAATCTCAATTTCTCCCCTAAAAGTTAAAAATATTAGAATAAATTTCGTGGGTATCAGGTACTTGTAAATTCTTCAAAATGACAAGGCCTATTTCAGGTTCTGATGGGTACAAGTTGGTATGATGTGTCAATAATAACTATCTGGTCATGGGCCCCAGAGCGGGCTCGAAACCAAGACTTACTGACCGTCAGTCGCAATGTGACTTTGACTTATGACTGAGAGTTCATTTGGAAGTCAGAATATACGTAGAACCAGTGGAATGTTCAGTCAGAAGAAGATGAAGTGTGTAAAATAGTGAGTTGTCAAGAATTGAGTAAGAAGAGTCGTCCAGTCGTCGTAAATGGGAATTCAGGGAGTCAGCAGCAGAAAGCTGAAAGGAATTAGGCTGTGCCGAGAGGACTTAGTGTGTGAGCTGAAGATTGTACACGTGCTGTAGTTGCAGTGATATTTGAAGTTACATTGATACTGATAAATCCGTTGCCAGGAAACAGATAGTGAAGACTAATGAAAGCACACGGAGAAGATTCAGTTTGGAGTGAGTTGAAATGTGAGTGTGTAAGAATGTAGTGTCAGAGTGGGAGTGTTATATTTAATTGTAGTTACGACTTGTGAATGATCGATAAATCCAAATACCAAGCCGAATCCCGTCTATAATCACTAATACACGTGACAAAAATACTCCGTGGCCTATAGTCCGCAAGCGATCTATACCGAGCGAGCGACCGCCGCCTTTCGGCGAAGTTACTGGCGACTTTAACGGATAGAGGGTGTCGCGAAACGGATCCCCACTGCCATTAATCTCGGTTTTCTAGACCGGAGCCGCTATTTCCTTGAAATATCTCGTCAATTATCCTCACGAGGCTGAGTGAACCCCATTCTAGATACAGTACTTCTCATAAAATCTGGTAGCACCGGGAATAGAACCCGGAACCTCTGGATCTGTACCCAGGAACTGTGACCACTAGGCAACAGAGGCGGTCAATACACGTGACAGTATTTTCTAAATTAACGCAGCCCAATTAAACCCGAAGGCAGAAAGTCTTAGGAAATGCAGATTTCTCTCACTTCGTCCAGGAACCAAAAAACGGACCGGGAGAAGGGGGAAGTTACTTTGTGTGCACTTATATAAAGAATAAAATGCACAAAATATGAAAATCCGTTAAGACTGATTTGGGGTGGGGATGTGAGCTCCGATGACGAGCTGGTCTTGAGCAATTGTAGAGAAGATCAAGCAACGTGACACTGGGTTGCACTGTAAAATATTCTTGTGGAGATCAGCAACCTCGCTGCAGTTTCCCATGCTGTTCAGCTCTGTGCTGTTCCAACAAGCCATAATCTCCACTTTTAACGCTCGCCTGAAGCCTTATGAACTTGCAACTTTTATAAAATAACTTCAGAAATGCGTTTTAGGGCAACTGGATCCGACAAGCTTTTTCGAGGTTGAAGAGATTCTGGTTGTTAAGCAATTACATATTGAAATTCGCTAACTACATACTTAACTTTGTAGTGTAGGGCCCGTATCAGAAGTTTAAAGTTGATTATAGTCTTATGGATTAGTTGTGTAATTTGGAGAAAGCCGAAAGTTTTGCAGGGATTTGACTCCTGCTGCTTTTGTTTCCTTGCTTGACTCTTTCATCCATCCTAAAGACGAATGATATACAGGATTATTCTAAATTATTGTCAGTGTTTTCGTTGCCTATATTTTCAAACCGGAAAGAACAAAATGAAACTGGTCATAGAATATGAAAGTGTAACTCACAGTGTTCTATTACTTATAGAATGAATACTATAGAATGCTAAACAACTTCAATATGCTCGCCTTTCTATTTCATCAGCTGTTTTATTTTGTTGTTTCTGGTTTGAAAATTATAGGCCACGGAAAGCGCGACAATAATTTAGAATCACGTTGTATGGCCTCCGATATGTCAGGCTCTTCCAATTACACAGCGTTACAACAAAGAAGACCCTGTTATTCATACTTTCTGCCAAGAGCAAGTCTAATCGAACCAGTTTTAGAGTTGCTCATCTCATCAAGAAATATATCTCTTTTATGGAACCCGAAATTTCAATACCGTGTTCACAGAAGACCGCCAAAAGATTTTTTCTGAATCCATTCAGTTCAGTCAATATTATGGCATGTACACCCGTTGCTTGGCAACAACCGCGGAAGGAGCAGCTATAACAACAGCCGTGTATACAATAACGCATACAGAAACAACGTCAATAACAACAACGCATGTGTTAAATTAGAAATTATAAAGTTAGAATATCTTCTAGTTACATCGAATTCAGTGGCCGCGCCATAGCTCAAGCGGTTAGTCGCTGTCTTCCCGCCGCGGCGTCCCGGGTTCGATCCTGGCTCTGGTGAACTGGGTTTTGCGGTGGACAAAGTGGCGTTGGGGCAGGTTTTCTCCGAGTATTTCGGTTTCCCCTGCCAATCTTCATTCCACCAATTACTCCGCCATCACCCTCACCTATTATCTGGGTCTGGTACAATAGGGCACAAGTGGCCCCAGTACAAGGGACTTAGTCCCACCCCACTAGCAATAAAAATTTAATACATCAAATTCATACCAACTTCCGTGGAAAACCCGTTAAATTGTTGAAGAGTAGGCAGGGGAAGTCTCAGTGACATGGCAATAGTGTAAACATAACTTCCTTCATAAAATAAAGAAAAATGGGGTAAAAAGCAAATGTTACTTGGGTCTCGTTTTGCCCCAGTCGATACCGACACGCTTGTGAAGTGCGTTCAGAATTCTCTTCTGAATACGTAATGACAATGAAATAGTCGAGACAGTTCATTCTTTTGTTTTTACAATACGCGTGTTTAAAGAATCCACTCACGTCTCATGCATACAGAAGGTTTGGAAAGGACGATTTTCTTTTTTTTTTAGTGTTCTTATAACTCTGTCTGAACAGATCAATGGTCTTAATGAGATAATATATTGTCTTAGTTTTTAAGCATAAAAAGGAATGCCGAAGTTTAAAAATGCGCATTAATTATGTGTCAAGGAACCTATACCAAGAAAATTCACATAGACCGTTTAGTGTTCGAGGCATTTCTTTGAACTTGACCACGATTAAAAATTATTTACAAGCCTGAGAAGAATTTAGTAGAATGCTAGGAGAATGGTGTCTAGTTCTCATGAATTTAGTCTCGTAACTGGACAAACTGTGAATTCCTAACACAAAACTTAGTGCGATAATGAGGCCGTTCCCAAGCCCATGAATATGAATGTCACTGTCTTGTTAGATGTGACTTCGTGATATCTGATAGAAAGTTGCTACCGTTTCGGAGGAACCTGCTGCTTCCATTTTCAGGACAAAAAAGGCTAGCTGTAGACAGAGGCAGCGAATTTCTCCAAAACTTCGGCAACTCTCTACCAGACTACACGATGTATCATCCTAGGAGTCATTATCTTAAACAAAAGAGAGTGATTTATGTTTGTTACCTATTTTTCAAGGTAAGAACCAAGTGAGATTAAAGGCTGTTTTAAAAATGGGGCATTAGGGCGCACATGGTATTTGTAGGATCTGCGGTTCTCACATCAATGGTTACAAAGTTTTCTGTTTTCTGAGATATAACATCATATAAAAAAAATGGCGAAATCCCTGTGCCTAAGTGATTAAGCATTAAGCCATGAAGACGTATGGCGGAATGGATGTATAGATCCACGTTTTCTTGACCTCGGAATTAGTTAGAGGTTAGTGGTTCCGTTGGAAGTCAGCCGACGTTTCGGGCAAACCTGTCTCACCCATCTTAATCGCCGAAGAGTAAACTAAGTAAGAAACCAGCGCGAGGCAGTTATGAAGCAGGGTTCTGCTTGCGTGCCTCTGCTTTCCCACCTGCGTCACGCTAGTTTCTTGCTTGGCTTGCTTTTTGGCCCTGAATGTGGAAGCGACATGTTCGTCCGAAACGTTGGTTGACG